CACCTAATAAAGTGACATTCAGACCCAGGCACCTAATAAATATTCCTTAATGATAATGATGAGAAAATGAATATCTGTGGTTTTTTGCTATCCTTCTTGCTGAGATGCATTTCCAGAACTGCTTTGTGGCTCCTAGGAGGCTTTCACTTGCCTACATGTTGAACTAAATTTGGGGCTGGTGATGGGAAAGCGCTACCATGTGCTAGGTTGGTTTTGTTTTTTTTTTTTTAAGTTACTCTCTTTTTATTTACTTATTGGCTGCCTTGGGTCTTTGTTGCTGCGCGCAGGCTTTCTCTAGTTGTGGCGAGCGGGGACTGCTCTTCATTGTGGTGCGCGGCCTTCTCTTGTTGTGGAGCACGGGCTCTAGAATGCAGGCTCAGTAATTGTGGCTCACGGGCCCAGCCGCTCCGCGGCATGTGGGATCTTCCCGGACCAGGATTCAAACCCGTGTCCCCTGCATTGGCAGGCGGATTCTTAACCACTGTGCCACCAGGGAGGCCCCGCTAGGTTGGTTTTTAAGGCTCCTTATGTTCGCGCTTCGGTGCTAGATCAGATCACAGCGCTCCGTCTGATCAGATCACACCCAGCACAGCACTGAACTCCCCCTGGAAGTGGATGGCAGTGTGTTTTGAAAAAGGAAATTGAAACAGTTTTTCTCTTTTTAGTTCACAAATGACCTCACTTAATTAAGGTAGCAAATGTGTAAGGGGAGAAAGAAGATGGGCGCTGGAGAGAGGGAACAGAGTATTAAATCGGGGGTTAGAGGCAGCCATGGGCGGGGCCCACATCTAGCACCGAAACTGTGACTAAGAGCACCACACCTCTTAGCCACTTGTGTTCATTTGATTTCCGTGGGGGGGGGGGGCTTGGTTATTTTTCCTTTGAGCACCTGTTTGCACACCCCCCTGTGTTCACGCAAAGCCGCGCAAGTGTTCCAGGAAACCAGCTCCCGGAGGGTGGGAGTAGAGGATCAAGTTTTGGTGCCCTCTGACACCAAAAATGTATATTCTCATAAACAACATGCACAGTTCTTGGGTTTGCATTGGTTTGGCGGGGCTTCTCTTTCAGAGACTGCCTTCTAGGAGTTTCTGGGAAAATAAAATTTCCGAGCGAGCAGTGCCCTGGCTCCTCTGGCAAAGCATTAAGGCAGCGAGAGAGGGCGTGAGCATCCAAGGTAAATGCCGCCCTCCTACTCAGACACATGTTTATGGTTAGCTTCGAGCCTTTGGGGATTTTCCACAGCTAGTAGAGGCCTAAACTTTTAAATTATTTTCTGCGTTGCTGTACTTCCTTGTGTCTCATTCCCTTAGCGTGGAAGCTTGTGATTTTGACTATACATTGCCACCTGCTTCTACATCAAGAAAGCCCAGGGCTTACCTTTATCACCCCTAATCTCTTCACTAGGTTACCCTCCACGGCTGCAGCTTTTAACAGAGCTGGCCAGACATGTATAGGAGTGCCCTTTCCACCCCAAACCCCTACCTACCAAGAGCACTGGCTGCCCCAGCTCAAGGCTTCCCCAGATGGGCCTGGGAAGCGCCTTCCAGGAGTCCTGACTGAAGCCCGTACCATGAAACCATCCCAGGACTCCAATCCCAGGAGTCACGAGGATGTTGCACCATGAGTGGGGATAAGTGACAGGTGAACTAGCTGTACTGTACGTGACTTCCTGCTTTCCACTGGGTCATTTCTCCCTCTTCCTTTCACATGTTGGAAGTGGCTCTTGAAATCGCTGAACTTGCTGTCACAGAGCAGAATTAGACGTGGGGAGAGAGCAGCACAAAGTGAGTGGGCTCTTCAAGGGCTGATAGAAGCCTACACACTTGTCACAAAGGGAGAAAGAGAGACAGAGCTGGACCTGGGTTGGGGTCTGCCACTCGGTGAGTGACCTCACAGGTTACTGCAGTGTTAGTTTCCTCACATATAGAATTGGAATAGTGGTGCCTACCTCATGGTTGTTAAGAGGATTCAATGAGATTATAATGTTGTTGTTATAAAATGAAACAGTCTTTTGGAATCAGTAATTATTGTTTTGAATTCTTTTCTTGGGCTTCATTTCTGGTTCTTTTGCCCAAGCTCTGAGCAGCTAGTGAACTGCTCTGGTCTTCTCATCCACCTCCAGGCTCGTCTACTAGTATCAGTGCTGAAGGCTGCACCTTAAGCTCCATGATGAGCCCCAGGTTTGAAACCGTGGCTTTGTGTACCTGCAGTCACTTTGCACCCCTCTTCTGAGCCTTCCTTACACATGTTTGTGCTCAGTACTGTGGTCGAGCTGGCCTTTCCACATGGCCTGCCCTCAGCCCTACATCTAAGCATTGCAGGTCATTGAGGCCTCCTTGCCTCCCATCCAATGGGGTCATTCTTCTCCACTTTTTGAAGAAGTTAAGGAGCCAACCCAGAGGAGGGAAAGAACTCTGACTTAAGGGTGAGAGAGAATTAGGTTATGATCCTATTCTGCCACTTGCTGCCTTTCCTGCCCTTTCTGAGCCTGTCCTCATCTGTACAGTGGAATATTACACATCACATGGAGTCAATAGGAGTATTCAATTAGGTAACATTTTAAAGTGTTTAGAACCATGCCCACCACAGAAGGTAGGCATCCTCGCTATTATGCAAAAATTTCCTTAACCCAGTGGAAAGCAGGAAGTCACGTACAGTACAGCTAGTTCACCTGTCACTTATCCCCACTCATGGTGCAACATCCTCGTTGTACATGAAAATGTTGCACTCCCCCTCCATCAAGAAATTCTGCGCTTTGTGAGTTGTTTTCCCAGAAGCTGGATCTGTGCCTTACCCCTTAGGATAGCCAGTGTAGGCCGTTGCACGCTGACTGGTGTTTAGCCAGATTATCTGTGACCGTGGTGTAGGAACTAGCTGGCCCGTGTGGGAATCTAACCCCTGTTTCAACGAAATCACTGCACGTGATGACAGCAGCACCCTAAATGTGTTGGTGAAGGCGCCATGGCTGCAGAGTCCTTTCACTCTCCTTCGGTTGTTACAGGAGTTCTGGGAGGTGGGCGGACTCGACTCTACAGAAGAAGAAAATGAGACCTGGAAAGCAGTCATTCCCCGTGTCACACCAGCGGTAACTGGTAGAACCCAGGACAGGCATGCACATGTCTTGCTTTTATATCTGGGACTTCTGTGAAGTTTTGAACCAAGATGAGAGCCTAATTCTGGCTGTACAAATGAAAGTTTAGAGCTCACAGAATCCTCTAGTTTTCCTGTCACCAGTGTACACTTTGTATCCGTTCCTTATAGAATATTCATTAATTCATTGAATGACTTATGTGCTGTCCGTGGCGGGGGTACTGTCAGGAAGAAGTAGACAAACCCCCTGCCGTGCCCAGAGGAGCTTATTGTAGTGGTAGGAGGCTGGTAGTGAATACAGAGAGATGCAGTATGACCATCCAGGGTGTCAGGCGGCGATGAGCTGTGGAGAAAACTAAGGCAGAAAGGCAGCTGGGGGCGGGGGGTGCGGACACTGAGTTTTGCTTTGATTCTTAGTGCTTCTCGTCTCGTCCGTGTGATAAGCGCTCCTAGAGCAAGGTTGTGTGTTCATTCCCTGCTGGTCCATCACACTCTGCATATCAGGACTTTTGGAGGCTGATTTTGGAGTTGAACCAGCCTTACTCAGTAGAAGCAGGTGCAGGGGCTGTCTGCTTACCCACTGAGATGCCAAGACCTTCAGATTAGAGCTGGGATGACCTGGGTCATGCTTTGGAATGCTCTGGTAGCTTGGAGAGGGAGCCTGTGCTGGTTTTCCTTAGAGATTATTTGTTAAATCTAGCGCTCCCCCTGCCGTTAGAAGATAGGGCACTTCCAACTGATCTTTTAAAATGGGTTTCTTTTTTACTTTAATATTAGGAAAAAAAAAAACTTAGAGAAAAAAAGAAGTACTGCAGTAACATTTGGAGCTTTCTTCGGGGACTGCTGCTCCTGAGGCCCAGCCCCTGGGGGTGGGATGGGGGGAGGAAGCGCAAAGGCCCAGGCAGGATAGGGTCATATCTGTGCTCTGGCTACTTTTAGCGTCTCCTTACCCCTGCACTCCTACCACAGCCAGCAGCCCAGCAAAAGTTATCTGCACACACAGTTTCACAGCTGCTCTGAAATTCTAGGGCAGCAGAAGTGAAACTGACCACGGTCTTATGAATTTTCCTCGTACTGCTGTTGTTCCCAACTTGAAGTGAGTCAGGCCTTTTCCCCTCTCATCCTCAGGGTGTCCCAACTCGTTATCTGCTGAGTTTTTGACACAGACTCTCTTCACAGCACTGCATTTGTAGAGGGTCCTGCTTTGGTCTCCCCACCCTCGGTGTGCTTTGCTGAGTTGCGAGCTGTGGCCATGTGGTGGTAGCCCCAGAAAAGAGCCGGGTCCGTGACGGGGGATACAGTGAGCCTCTGGTCAGCTGCTGGTTGTGTGCACCAAGGTTAACCATACAATCATGGTGAAGTTCTTTTAGTCCTTCAAGATGAAATTCAAGTTAATTTTAGCAGCACTATTAATACCAGCTGAACCGAAGAAGGAAATGGCACCCAAGTAGATGCAATGTCTTTTTGGTTTAACTGCCTCATTCAAACAGTTCGGTCACTTTGCGATTCCTGATGAGGTTGGAGAAGGAAAGTGGGTGGACCCAACTTGCAGCTCTGCTCTGTGTCCCGGTCTCCCCGAGGGTAAAGGGAGGCCCAGTGGGCATTCTTGGAGAGTTGACTGCTCCATAAGGATTATATTAAAGTTATGTTCCCTGGGTGCACCTTACAGAGCCCAAGCTTAGGCAGTGACTGTTCCCATTAGGAACAAAGTAACCAGAATTGTTTTGATGGGGTAGCTGAACCATAAAGATATGTGCTTACTCAGGTGCCGTTTTCTTCTTCACTTCAGCTGATATTAATAGTACTGCTAAAATTAACTTGAATTTAAGATACCTTCTCCACTGTAAAGTGTAGCAGTAGACATGATGCTTCACTATAAAGTAATTCTTTCATCATTCTTCTCCCAACAGCTTTGAAAAGTCCAGCTGCATTTCATGAGCAGAGAAGGAGCTTGGAGCGGGCCAGGGTAAGGCACCTTGCTTCCCAAGGATTCCTAAGAGCATTTTCAGAGCCTGTTGTGCTGCTGTCATCTTCCTTCCAGTCTAGCGTTGCCTCCAGGGTCAGCCCTGGCCTTATGGTTCTAAATAGAAAGCTCTGGCTTTTCTGCTTCATCCCCACCCGAGCGTCTCCCAGTGTGATGATATGGGCCATGATCGCAATGAGTTTCTTCCTTTAGTACGTTCAAGGGTATGTAATGGTCACCTCCCTTCTTTTGGTTTGGAGACCACTAGTATTTTCCCATCTTTAATTCCACTTAGCCTTTTGTAGCTGTTAGGACACGACCACCAGCCACGGAAAAGCTTGCTGAGTGGTGGTCCCTCCTGTCTGGCCACACTGCCCACACCTCTTCAGAATGGGCATGGAAACCTTACTGGTCTCCGTGTGCCCCTGAGCAGCCAGGGTCCACTTGAGGCCGTGGAAGCAGAAGCTGGGTCCCTCTGAGCTCAGGTTCACACTGCAGCACCTGGCTTGTTGCCCTGTCCCCCTCGGTTTCAGTTCCCTCGGGGGCCTCAGGGGATATTCTGCTGCCCAGTGTGGGCGGAGATGGGGAATTCGCCAGAACATGCTTCCCCCTCTCAGCCCCTTCACTTTTCTCTTTTATGTAAAAGACAAGGGAAGAGAGCCTCCCCAGATGGAGGATCATAGGCCGGGGCTCCCTAAGACCCACAGCTCTTTCAGAGACTGAAATATTTACCTCCAAGACTTATCTTACTGTCTTCTGTCTTTATTTTATTTTTAACAAATTTCTAAGGAAAATTAAGATTAATTCTTAGCGTGAGTGGGAAGAATGAGGCCACAGGTCCTGGGAACCAAAGGAGTGACCAGCTGCACTGTCTCAGTGCCTGGGAGGATGAGAGAATACAGCAGAGAGAAAAGGAATGTCATTGCCTGTGCCCTCAACCCAGTCGTAAGACTTGGCACCATTTCCCGGCCTGCTTCTCCAAGGCAAGGAGCAAATACGGACTAATTAGTACAGCTGCTAGTTTATTGAGTACTTTTGTGTGTGAAATTATAGCCTTTCTTGTTTATGTTCACATCAGCTCTTATGAATGAGGTGTTAGTATCTTTATCTCAATAGATGCAGTTAAGAGAGGTTAACTAACGTGTCCAGCTAGTAAGTGGCAAGCTTACTGGGATTTAAACCTTGGGGTGTGGACTCCAGGTGTTTTCTTCATCAGCACCGTATGCCTCCCTCTGCTGTCTGTGAAGACCTGCAGTGTACGACACCTGTTCTGCCGTCTTCTCCGGCAGTCATGGCAGTACTTCTGCCCACTGCAGATGGGTGATAGGCCCTGAACCCGCGGCCACTGTGAGCCATCTCCTGGAGAGCTCAGCACCACCCTGGGGCTGGCACAGAGCTGACCAGTCAGAGCACCAAGGCCAGTCCAAGGAGCGAGTCTTTACCTTGCTAGCAGGCATGCAGTATGCTCTGATACTTTATTTTCTATTCAATTCTACTCTACCCTACTCTGCTCTGTCTTGTCCTGTCCTGTCTTGTCCTATCCTACCCTATCCTGTGCTGGTCCTGACCCACTAATGGTCTTGACCTATGGTTTGTAAAATTCTGGTGCAAAGGTTAAGAGCACAGGCTCTAGAGTCAGACAAATCCGGGGTCATATATACATTATAACGTGAGCGCCGGGCAGTGGGCTGGCTCTGGGACTGTTGAGGGAATGGTTTAATTTGCTTGGCGTCTCAGAAGTGCAGAAATTAGGACATGAGACTTTAAGGAACTAGAGCTATGACACCATGTATCAAAATTAGTACTCTACTTGGCAGCCATTCAGAGTGAATGGAAAATGCTCATGGTATCAGGCAATGCCAAGTTTTTTGAAATAAGGTATAAAATTATATTCAGTATGATTATAGCTTTGCAAAATTAAACTTATCTTTTGCATGGAAGAATGATTAGAAACAAATATCCCCAAATACTAATGGTGGATGATTAAAAATTTTTATTGTTGTTTTACTTTCTAATTTTCTGAATTTTCTTTGATGAACATAACATATGATAGTAATAGATTAGGACTTCCCTGGTGGTGCAGTGGTTAAGAATCCACCTGCCAGTGCAGGGGACACGGGTTCGAGCCCTGGTCCGGGAAGATCCCACATGCTGTGGAGCTACTAAGCCTGTGCACCACAACTACTGAGCCTGTGCCCTAGAGCCTGCAAGCCCCAACTACTGAGCCCACGTGCCACAACTACTGAAGCCCGTGCACCTAGAGCCCGTGCTCCGCAACAAGAGAAGCCACTGCAATGAAAAGCCTGCGCACCGCAAAGAAGAGTAGCCCCTAGCCCCTGCTCGCCGCAACTAGAGAAAGCCAGCGTACAGCAACAAAGACCCCATGCAGACAAAAATAAAATAAATAAATTGATTTTTTTTAAAAAAGTAATAGATTAAAAAATATATTAGTAGTCCAGCCTCAGAGCGACAAATGGTCTTGACAGATGGATGATGCCCTTGGCAGGTGCACTGAAAGTGGACGCGTCCTTCCAGGCCTCAGGAGCCTGCAGTCTCCAGGCTGAGGTTGTGGTGGCTGCAGAGGTGACCCACTAAAGGCACGGCTGCTTTTTGGTCCTGTTCATGCCATAAGCTTGTGACCTGGATCTGAGAGCTGCTTGGTGTGTTTTTTCTATAGACAGAGGACTACCTGAAGCGGAAGATTCGTTCCCGGCCGGAGAGATCGGAGCTGGTCAGGATGCACATATTGGAAGGTGTGTTAGATTGGAAATGCTTCTTCATCTAAACCCTCATTCTCACTGTTTTCACCCCTGCACCACCCACGTTTCATCGTCCCTCTTTTTCATCACTCCCGTTTCTGTTGACAGTGTAAGCCAGAGCCTTAATGCAGTTAAAACAGCAGTGCTGTGGGCAACCACCCCTGGCTTTTGGGAATTCCCAAAGGAGCACAGTCACATTCTCTTGGGGTGGCTTCCCTTTTTCTATGGCCACGTCGTGGCCCTGGATCTCATAAAACCTCGGTATGAAATCCTTTCCTCCAACTCTGTTCTTAAATGTGTTTACTTTCTGTTTTCATTCATTCCTTCATCTATCCATCCATCCATTCATTTGCTCACTCAGTATTTACAGGAGCACCTGTGAAGTACAAGCAAGATCATCCCAGACGTACTCCACCTGCCCACACACACTTCTTTCCTCATTCTAGGGAAGGAAAGGTTTTGGCTTGAGCCTATTCACTTTTTGTTTGGTTTTGAAACCACTTTGGGGTTGGAAGAAGACTTTCCTAGACTGAACCCCACACTTTGCAGAGGAAGGCACTGAGGCCCAGAGCAGGGAGGTGGATTGTCCCCATAACGCAGCGAGCTTGAGGGAGAGGAGACACCACCCATTGCCTGGTGCTCTTTCAGCTCTAGCTCCAGCTCAGAGAGTCGTCTGGGCCAGCCTGTGCCTAGTGACCACTGTTGCGCGTGACCACACACTGTCCACAGCGGGGGCCCCTTCTTCTGTCCTTGTGAAACTTCAGGCCAGGCCACCGTACTCCGCCTGGCACTTGATTTACATTCTCATGGTCTCTGCTCCTTCCCCAGAGGGAAGGGGAGCTGCTCTGCAGTTCCCAGGGCAGGACCAGCTCATTCCTATATCCTCCTGCACTCCATTCTCTCCCACGGGCAGAGACCTCGGCTGAGCCTTCCCTGCAGGCCAAGCAGCTGAAGCTGAAAAGAGCCAGGCTGGCCGATGACCTCAACGAGAAGATTGCGCAGAGGCCTGGCCCCATGGAGCTGGTGGAGAAGAACATCCTGCCTGTGGAGTCTAGCCTGAAGGAAGCCATCATTGGTGAGGAGGCCCGGCCACCACGTGTGGACTTGAAGGCGGGGCGCAGAGGGCATGGGCTCTGGACCGCTTGCTCCCTGACTTCCTGCTTAGCCTTGGGGGAGCCGAGGTACAGAGTATGAGAGCCTGATAAACGGGTCCTGTGAGCCTGGGACAGCGCCAGTGGCCTCACAGATCAGCACCGTGCCAAAATAACTGCATCAGTGACAGAGAGGCCTCTGTCCACTTCCCATCTCTGTGAGTGCAGGGGCTTGTCCCTCTTTCCCAGAGAAGGTAGGTAGATGTCCGGGGTGGTGTGTGTGAGCACGTGGAGACGCTGGGACCTTGAAACTGTGCCTGCGGTTTCTTTTCATTAGTGAAATCTCTTCTTGGAGCCTGGCACTCTCCTCAGATAGTTCAGTCAGTAAAGGTCGATTGATCCAAGCAGTGTGCTAGGTGCTAGGGCCACAGCCCCACAAGGCAGACCAAGCCCCTCGTCCTTACGGAGCTCAAGCCCAGGAGCAGATACAGGCAAGGAAACAGGTGAGAGTGAGATGGAGGCCGCCCCCCCCGGCCCCGACAGCGGGCGTCGGTGTCAGAAGAGCTGAGGCCCAGGTGGGGGTGTTGGAGGGCCACCCCCCCCCGGCCCCGACAGAGGGCATCGGCGTCAGAGGAGCTGAGGCCCAGATGGGGGTGATGGAGGCCGGCCCCGACAGCGGGCGTCGGCATCAGAAGAGCTGAGGCCCAGATGGGGGTGCAGGGTGAGTAGGAATGAAAGCGTATGCAGCGGGCAGAAGGAGCAGCCTGCACGTGGAGCTGGAAACGGGTGTTGAGACGTGAGGGGGAGGCCACAGAGTCCAGGACGTGCAGGGCCTCCTGTGCCACGGGCAGGTGTGCAGACATGATTCCCTCAGACTTTGGTAACTGTTGGTACAGACATGTTTCTTTGGCTGCCGCAGGCCTGAGACCTGCCCCCGAGGAGCGGCCGTGCCTTCAGGAGGCTCAGGTGCTCTCACGTAGGAGTGAGCTGGGTCTTTGGGCAGGGCAGGGGAGGGCACAGGAGTAGGCCCGAAGCAGGCCACGTTGGGCCCGAGCCCTGGCTCAGAGGAGACCGGTTTCTGGGACCTCATCTGCACCCGCAGAGGAGGTGCCCTGACCGCCCTCTTCCCCTTTAACTCCCTGCTTTGCCCTGGCATTCACTTCACCTTGTGTTAGTGTTTTCCTGCCCGGACCTTCACCAGATTCCACAACAGCGTTTGGGCCAAGGTCAGTTCTGGACTCTCCAGCCAGCCCAAGTCTGGTAAATGTTTGCTGAGAGTCAGCCATGCACCAGGCCTGTGTGAGTCCTGCCGTTACAGAGACGAACAGAATATGCTGCGCCTGCCCTCAGAGAACTCAGTCTGACGGGAGAAGGCTGCCGTGTGCACAAGTGATTTCTGAGTCTAGCTCCCAGGCACGGTGGCACCACGTAGTTAGAAAGACCAGGGCCCTGTAACATCGTAGCCAAGCCACCTGCCGTTCAGGACAGTTTGCAGGCTCCCAGGTGACGATGGCTGTGAAGGGCCCGGCACAGTCCTGGGCGCCCAGGGAGACTCGGGGAAGGGCTGCTGCTGTTTGCAGTGACGTTCGTTACAGACCAGCTGGCGGCTCTGTCGTGGACAGTGTAGGACAGCGGTGTGTGGCAGGGGCAGCGAGAGCCCGTCCGAGATGGGCTTCTCTCAGGGATGCAGATGGCGGTGGGGCTGACGACACGTTTCGGGCCCACCTGGAGATCGAGTCAGTTTGCCAAGTAGAGAGGGTGCAGAGGGACATTCCGGGCAGAGGGGACAGCGGGGGCAGTGTGGCCTGGAGCCCTGGCGGAATACGGCTTGTTTGAGGCCCGGGAAGTAGCTTAGTTTGGAACGAGGTCATCACTGGTGACTGGGGAGAGAGGAGCATTCGCCGGCAGTGAGCGTGCAGGCCAAGGAGTGAGCAGGAGGCAAGGCAGTGGTGACAGCACACATGGTCCGTCTGTTCAGGAAGAGAGTGGAGAGGAGAGAGGGACATAGTGGTCAAGGAGGAGGCTTAGGGCTAAGAGGAAGGAGTCAGGGGAGAGGCTGAGGAGGTGGGGGATGGAGGGGGAGGCAGAGCGGGGTGTGCACCGGGATGGGAGGGGCTTCGCAGACGGCCTCCGTCTCCCAGACTGCACCACACACCTGCGGCCATCTGCTCACACACGCGCCACCAGCTGGTCGTTGGAGTCATGGCCGGCCTCCCCTCAGCATCCACGTTTCCCGCCAGCAGAGCAGCGGCTGGGCTCCAGGGTGCCTGGCCCGTGAACTCCGGCCGGGCAGGGCCCCATCCGGGCTGCCCTGGCTGCAGGAGAGAGGGGTGGGCCCCTCAGTGACCTGGCCTGACGGCCCTGGGGCCGCTGCAGTGTGGCCAGCAGCTTCCTCAGGCTGGGCTGAGGCGGGGGTGGACCCGCAGCTCCTCCGTCCTGAGTCCCAGTGTCCTGTGGCTGCTGTGCCATGGCAGGTCCCCTCTCTGGGAGCAGGAGACTGTGGGAGAGCACCTAGACCTAGCGTGACCGGCAAGAAGGGCCCACTGTCAGCGAGCTGCATCCTCTCCGCGCTCCTTGCGGGCCCCTGGGAGGGCGGGTGGGGGGTGGGGGACAAGCTCAGGGGCATCCTGCTGGGCCCTAGGGGCATAGGGCCTCGGGGCACGGCCCTGGAGCGGGGGAGGGTCTGCCGGGAGAGTGTTCCTCATCTGTGGTCTTCCCGCCGCAGCTGCGTCCCCGGCATGGCTGCCGGCTCACTTCTGCGCCGCTGCCTCATTCCCCCTGTGTGGACAGTGCCGGTGCAGAACAACTCCCCTGACCGTGCTGGTGGCAGTGTTGTGACAGGAGTTTTTTGAAGTACCCTGCCTGCCCCATCCCCTTCTTTCCTTCTCTCTGCATCTGGGATTCCAACGCTGGGTCCCTGCTTCTCCCGCCTCTCCCACCCAGCCTGGTCCCTGCCCCGGAGCGCAGGCCTGCCCCCAGGACGTGGGTCTCTGGGAGTCACTGGCTGCTGAAGGGAGGTCGCTGTCCTTCCACTGATCTGCTTCACCTGTGCAAGCAGGCGGCCCTTCTCCGCGAGGCTCTTCTGTCTGTTCCTCCTGGTCTTCGGGGAGTCGGGCAGCCCAGGGGAGGAGTTGCACCTGCATAGCTGTTACCCAAACTCCTTCCGTCCCTGATCGCAGGGTCCGTGAGCCTCTGGGAGAAGAGGAGAGTTTTGTGCAGCCACAGGATGGGAATAAAATGCCTTCAACAGCAGGGAAACAGGAGGTGGCAGGCTGTGGGGCGGGAGGGCAGACCCTGACTTGGAAGACTGAACGCAGGGCGGAGTTAAAAGCAAGGGGTTAACCATCAGGCCTTTCCCCACCAAGGGGAGTGCTCTGATGACCTGGTGGGACTGACTCTTCCTGGCCTTTGTTTCGGGTCGTGATGACAAGCTTTCCTTGAGCTCTTTTGGACACAGGAGGCAGGTCGGCTGCTGGCCTCCTTCTCCAGCTGCTTGCTGGCGCCGCGGGGCCGCAGGGCAGGCGCCTCGCTGGGACAGCCTCTTCCCCTTTGCTGGAGGAGTCTCACCCTAGCCTTGGCTTTCAGTGGGCCAGGTGAACTACCCGAAAGTAGCAGACAGCTCTTCCTTTGATGAGGACAGCAGCGATGCCTTATCTCCTGAGCAGCCTGCCAGCCATGAGTCCCAGGGCTCGGTGCCGTCACCCCTGGAAGCCCGAGTCAGCGAGCTACTGCCCAGTGCCACCTCTGTGTCCCCCACTCAGGTGAGCTTGTCCACTACAGGTGCTTCCCCTGCTCAGGGGCCCCAGACCTACTGGAGCGGCCCAGAATGAGGTCCCTCGCTTGGGCCAGGTGGGACGGGGAAGCCAGAAGGTGCGGCGGTGGGCCCTCGTGGAGGACGCCGGCTGGGCAGCCTTGCAGTTAGATTCAGAGACCTCCCTGCTGCCCCATGTCTGCTCATTCAGAACAGCCACTTCTCCTGAGTGTGTTCAGTTCCGTAACATTTCACCACCCTCTGTCTTCCCCTTTTCTAGTTCCCTCTCCCCTTGCCACCCTGGAGGCTGCTCTTTTCATCCCTCTCGTCTTTGCCCGTCATTTGCCCCCTAACGGTGATGGCGTCCGAGGGGGTGACAGCCACCCACCTCCAGGCAGGGCAGGGCAGGGATGCACCACCGGCTGAAGCCTGGAGATGGCGCAGCTTCCAGGGCCTCGAGAAGGGGTGGGTGTGTCCTCACTTCCCCTCTTCTCTCCCAGGTCGTGTCTCAACTCCCCGTGGGCCCAGAGTCTGGAGAAACAGTCCTCCTGGCGGAGCAGCCTCCTCCGCCGCCCAGCCTCGCCAACGGAACCACGGTCGCCACCGCCAAGCCCCTCCCCACTCTCATTAAGGTGCAGACCTCTAGCTGACCGCCCTCTCCTCTCCGTTCCCCTCTGAGTCCTGCCGTGACTCCGTCCCAGTGTGGGGAGTGGGGCTGGCTCTCTTCTCCTCCTGGTCCGGGACCAGCCGAGGTCACCACAGTGCTCTGGGAGATCTCCTGTTCTCTCCACGCACGCTGGCCGTCACAGCCGCAGCCACCGCTCACTGAACACAGCGGGCCAGGCTCTCACTCCTGCTCGCCCCAGGAAGACACGTCCACACGTCCCCTCTGTCCACTCGGAGCCTCGTGAGGCTATGACAGAACCGAGAAGTGAGGCGATGGGCCTGAGGTCACCCAGCCAGCTGTGCCGGGTGTTTGTTGTCACTCTCTTCCTCCAAGTCCTGACCTAAGATACCTGAAGGGACGGCATTTACCGTCAACCCCACGAGACGCCCATGGGGACCTTTGTGTGGGAACACGGTGCTGGACGCTGAGGTTAAGTTCAGCAGCATGAGGAGCCGGTGTCTGGTCCTCCCCGCCCAGCCGAGCTTTCTCCCTCGGCCTCTGGGACCTTGGCCCTGACTGCCACCCTCCATCCAGCCTGTGCTCCACGCCTGCTGGGCAGGTGCCCTTCCTTCCCGCTCGGCTTGCTTCCCATCTTGACTGATTCTCCAGTCCCGCCACACAGGCCCAGGCCCTGGCCTGGAGCCTCTGGCCGCCCACGTTCCTCTGCTGCGGCTCACAGCCTTAGCGAAGCCTCCCTGTGCCTCCGGGCGCTCCCAGGTGGTTGGCGGGGTCTCCGCGGCCCTCCCCTGTGGCGCCCCTGCCCCAGGCCTGCTCCTCCCGGTCAGTGGTGCCCTGGCGCTCTGATGGCTCCCGGCCGCTACCCCAGCAGCCGGCACCTCCCTTGCCTCTGCGGTCTATTCCTGATTGGCTGCAGATGTCTGAGGTTTTCTCTCCAAATTCCTCCCTCAGACCTGCTCCTCGTCACACGACTGGTGCCTTCCTTTGCCCACTCCCCGTTTGCGAGAACAGTGTATGTGTGTTTATCTAACTTCCTCTTTCCCGGTAGTGCCTCGGCCTCTGTCCCCGCTCCCCAGCCCTGCCACGGGCTCTCCTCCAAGCTGAGCCCCCAGCTGCCTCAGACCTGCCTCAGGTCGCACTCCTCTCTCTGGTGGCTTTCCCTGGGCTCCCGTCTTCTTCCCTTTCAGTGGGGTGCTCCCGGGCTGCCCTCGGCCTCTTTCTCGCACCCTCAGCCTTGCCGGGGCCTCTCAGCGGACCCCTCTCCCTCCTCTCGGGTGCTCTCCGGTCCCAGCAGCCCCGCGCCTTCTCCCCCACTCTCCCTACCCTGGCCAACCGGCACCTCTTCCCGACTTCTGCGAAGGGGCCACCGTTGTCACGCTGTTGCCGAAGCTCAAAACCGTGACCTTGTAGCCACTCGGCTGCCACACGCGCTGTTGTCCCTTCTCCCTCTAGTCAGTCACCTCCTTGTCCCTTCTCCCTCTAGTCAGTCACCTCCTTCCACATCCCGTCAGTGCCCACGGCGCCCTGGTCAGACCCCCGCTGAGCCCCGCATCGAGTCTCCACCCTTCCGCCTGCCGTTCTCTGCTCAGAAGCCGCGAGGCCCTCCTTGCTCCTTCCCCAGCACTCAGCGCCCTGCTCACTCTTGCCCACACCCCCTCCACCCTCCTCACCCGGGAGACGGCCTCCCTGTGTGCCGGCCGCCCCGTCAGTGAATGGACGTGAGCTTCTGAGGTCCAGGGTTCGGATCCCAGCTCCTTCGCGCAGCGAGGTCCCAGTCACTGTGCGGCCTCGAGCGCGTGGCTTCCCTGAGCCTCTTTCTTCCCTTTCGAGTCGACGGGCCGGTTCCTGGGGAGGCAGGGTTTTTGCAGGTCTGTGTGACGCGGCTTTTGTAAAGCGCCCAGTGTGGGCTGCGCGAGCTCCGTAGAACAGCTCTTTTCACCTCGTCGTCCTGTTTACTCTGTGCTCAGGGTCACAGGGAGGCTGCCTGGCCTGTGCACTGGGGCTAGAAGCTCTTTTAAGAGCAGAGCCAGTCACAAGCCCCGCCCCCCATCGCCCTCACCCCCTCCCTGGACACTCCCGGGCACTGAGGAGGCCTCTGCTTTGGGAGGGGTGCCATTTGGCAGGGAGCGTGGACAGGGCAGGGTGGGCAGCGGGGCCTTTCCGGAAGCCACTTGGCTGCCCCTGACAGCGCACTCTGTCTCCTGTGCCCGCAGCAAAGCCAACCCAAGTCTGCCAGTGAGAAGTCGCAGCGCAGCAAGAAGGCCAAGGAGCTGAAGCCGAAGGTGAAGAAGCTCAAGTATCACCAGTACATCCCCCCGGACCAGAAGCAGGACAAGGGGGCGCCCCCCATGGACTCCTCCTACGCCAGGATCCTGCAGCAGCAGCAGCTCTTCCTGCAGCTCCAGATCCTCAATCAGCAGCAGCAGCAGCACTACAACTACCAGACCATCCTGCCCGCCCCGCCCAAGTAGGCCCGGCCTGCCCCCGCCACGCGCCCCCCCCCCCCACCCCCCCCCCCCCCCCCCCCCCGCCCACAGGCACCGGGACGGCCAGATGCGGGCAGCCCTGACGTGAAAGGACCCTTTGGTCCTGGTCCTGCGGGAGTGCTCTGTGGGCGGGGCCCTTGCCCCTTGCTCCTCTCCATCCGGCCTGCAGAGGCCTAGGGCGAGACCTGGCGGGGGCTCATTCCTGTCCTTTCTTCCTCTCAGGCCAGCAGGGGAGGCTCTGGGAAGCGGTGGGGCCCCCCTGACGCGCAGCCTTTCCGCTACCAGCAGCAGCTCCGGCTCGGGCGCCCCTGGGCCCAGTGGGCTGGTACGTCAGAACAGCACCTCGTTGACTGGCAAGCCTGGGGCCCTGCCTGCCAACCTGGACGACATGAAGGTAAGTGGTTGCACACTTCCCCCTGGAGGCCTTGTGCCGTCGCCAGCCTGGCCTCTCGTGGGGGCGGTCAGGTGCTCGGTCTCAGGCAGGGGAGGCGGCCGGCCCAGGACCACGGCTGCAGGAGGCAGAGCAGAGCTCCAGCAGAGGCACCTGGAACCTGCTCTGAGGCCCTGGTCATCCGTGGCATTAGCCTTGTCATCGTGGTCATCGTCATTAACGACGCCAGCCAGTATCTGTCAAGGGCCGCAGGGCTTACGGAGCACTTGTGCACCTCTCGTTTTCCTCAGCCTCTACAGTGCAGTGTGAGAAACAGGGAGTGTTACCCCGGCTTAAGGATGAGCAAGCAGAGGCGTCGAGGGATAGAGAGGTTTGCCTGAGGTCATGGGTCCGGCCGGCAGTACAGCCAGTGTTCAGACTCAGGGCTCCATTACAGCACCCACCCTTTCCATGCGGCCAGCTACTGTCCTGCTGAATCTGCTCTACAAGTGCTGTGTTGGCCTGGGAGAGAGCAGCCCACACTTGGGCCACAGGCTGCACTCGTGCCCTGGGCTTTGGAGGGCGGGAGACGCCCCAGGCCTGGCCTGTTTTCTCTGCCCTGATCAGAAAGGGGAGTGGATCACATTCTCCCTGGAGAGTTTGTCCTCTGAACCAGTCTGCTCCCTCCTCAGTCATGACAGGGATCCTAGCAAGGTACAGCCCTTTTGGGGGGAGCTGGACACGGGCCTCAGAGTCCCTCAGACCCGGCTCTAACCCCTAGCTCTGCCCATCACCAGCTGTGTGATCCTGAAGAAGTTATTTCACTTTCATGAGCTCCGTTTTCTCATCTGTAAAATCCAGTCAATTAAGTATTTACCGAGCACAAGGCACCATGCCCCCGGTGTGAGGACGGCGAGGAGGAGGGGGCCAGCCTGGCAGATGCACGTCTCGCCCCCCAGGGCTGTGGGAGGGTCAGGTGGTTGATACATCTGAAGTGGCCAGTGGGGTCCAGACAGAGGAGGACTGCCCGGACTCTCCACCCCCTTGCAGGTGGCAGAGCTGAAGCAGGAGCTGAAGTTGCGGTCACTGCCCGTCTCGGGCACCAAGACAGACCTAATTGAGCGCCTGCGCGCCTACCAGGAGCAAATCAGTCCCGCCGCTGGAGCACCCAAGGGCCCCGCCGCTGCCTCCATCCTGCCCAAGGCTGGCGAGGTGGTGGTAGCCTTCCCTGCTGCTCGGCTAAGCACGGGGCCCACCCTGGTGGCAGCGGGCCTGGCCCCGGCTGAGGTGGTGGTGGCCACGGTGACCAGCAATGGAGTGGTGAAGTTTGGCAGCACGGGCTCCACGCCCCCTGTGTCTCCCACCCCCTCAGAGCGTTCACTGCTCAGCACAGGCGACGAGAACTCCACGCCTGGGGACACCTTTGGCGAGATGGTGACGTCGCCAGTGACCCAGCTCACCCTGCAGGCCTCGCCGCTGCAGATCCTTGTGAAGGAGGAGGGCCCCCGCGCTGGGTCCTGCTGTCTCAGCCCTGGGATGCGGGCAGAGCTGGAGGGGCGTGACAAGGACCAGATGCTGCAGGAAAAGGACAAGCAGATCGAGGAGCTGACCCGCATGCTCCGGCAGAAGCAGCAGCTGGTGGAGTGGCTCAGGCTGCAGCTGGAGCAGGAGAAGCGGGCCCAGCAGCCCACGCCAGCCCCTGCCCCTGCCCCGGCCCTGGTCACGCTTGGTGCCGCAGTGAAGCAGGAAAGCAGCCTTGCCAGCTGCCAGCTGAGCAGGCAGCCCCCGGGCCCCGATTGCCCCTTCAGCCCCAGCCTCGCGGGCCCCGCTGCCCCCCATGTAGACACTTGTACCCTGGGGCCCCCGGCCGTGGTGGTGAAGCAGGAAGCCGTGTTGCCCGAGCCTGAACCAGCCCCGGCCCTGGTCACGCTTGGTGCCGCAGTGAAGCAGGAAAGCAGCCTTGCCAGCTGCCAGCTGAGCAGGCAGCCCCCGGGCCCTGATCGCCCCTTCGGCCCCAGCCTCGCGGGCCCCGCTGCCCACCATGTAGACACTTGCACCCTGGTGCCCCCGGCCGTGGTGGTGAAGCAGGAAGCTGTGCTGCCCGAGCCTGAACCAGCCCCGGCCCCGCAGCTGCTTCTGGGCCCACAGGGCCCCAGCCTCATCAAGGGGGTCACACCTCCCACGCTCCTCACTGACTCCACAGGGACCCACCTTGTCCTCACCGTGACCAATAAGAATGCAGACAGCCCTGGCCTGGCCAGCGGGAGCCCCCAGCAGGTACCTGGGTGTGGGAGGGGCAGGAGCCCCAGGAGGGCGTGAAGGCACTCTTCATGACAGTGCCCTGTTCACCAGGTTCCCCCGTGGTCGGGCGGGTTATGCTCGCTTCCTTTAATCTTCCCTTCAACCCTCCGAAACTAGGGATCGCCATCCCGGTGTTACCCAGGAAGGTGCTCAGACTTGAAAAGGTTGAGGCACCTGTGTGAGGTCCCCAGCCTTGAGGGTGGGGCCACGAGGGCCTGCCCACTACTCTGGCGGTTGGCGTCAGAACCCTTCTGTGCCCGGCCGACGGCTCCTAAGCGGCCCCACCCGGGCCTGGCCACTCCTGCCCCTGCTCCGTGGGGTGGGACAGGCCCAGGGGAGGGTTGGGGAAGCCCCTCCTGGGATAGACTGAGGGCCGCCAGGCTGGACCTGATGCGAGCTCCACTCCTCTCCCCCTCAGAGAGGCCAGCTGTCCCCCACCAAGGTGACATTGGCAGCTGGCTCCCTGCTGCTGCCACCCTCGCAGCCCAGACCCTTCACTCAGCCTGGCCCACAGGTGAGGCTGCTCTAGGCTTTGTGTGGCCTCTCAGCCCTTCCGAGCTGGGGCTCGGGGCGGCAGTGACAGGACTCGGTTACTCAGGAAGGGACACAGGCCCCTGAGCATCCTCAGGCAGAAACTCCAGGGAGGAGAGGGGAAATTAGCCCAGAGACCCCCGCCCCCCTGCCTCTGCCCCGTGTGGCTTGTACCAAGCCCTAGGGAGCCAGTCGCCCTCTGTAGGGTCAGAGGTCAGGGCCTCCTCCATCCCACATCCCTTCTTCCCCGGGGGCTTCCACGAAAGCTCTCCGAGAGCCAGTGCAGGTGGCAGAGCTGCCCGCCTTGCCTGCCTGGAGCGTGTAGGCCCTGGGCTGTTGCCCTCGCCCCAGCCACTGGTTCCCTCCCTTTCTCCTGTCTAGCTCTTGTCCCAGCCTGGCTCTCCAGCCCCTGGCCCCCCAGCCCAGAGGGACCTGGAGCACCTGCCACAGCCCCTTTTTGGGCCCCCCACTTCTCTGCCGAAGAAGGAGCCGCCTGGCTATGAGGAAGCTGTGAGCCAGCAGCCCAGACAGCAGGTAAAGAGGGTGGACCGGGGCCTGGCTGGGTGGGCGGCGCCTCGGCAGCTGGGCTGGGCTGGGCTGGGCTCCCACATTCCCCCGGGCCTGGCTGGAGGGTGGGGCAGGTAGGAGCCAGCCTCGCAGGTCAGAGAGGCCTTGGAGAGAAGCCGTCGGGCAGGAGTGAGTGTGGGCTCCGGGAGCCTGAGCACAGGCTGCCCGGCTCTGTGGGCCTGGCTGCTGGCTCAGGGCCACAAGGTAGGGTCTGTGCCCTGAGCCAGGCTGGGGGGCCTCTTGTTCTAGACTTCCATTTCATTTTCTTATTTTTGTGCCACAGGAAAATGGTTCCTCAAGCCAGCAGATGGATGACCTGTTTGACATTCTGATTCAGAGTGGAGGTAAAGTCCAGACCCACCGCTCTGCTCCCCGACCTCCTCTTTTCTTCACAGGTTGTCTCCATTCCTAGGCTGGTTGGTTATTGGGTTTGGTTTCATTCTTGAACACGATGCCCGGCAGGCCTGGTGCTTTGGATGCGTTAACGTGTGAGACGCGTCCCTTCTCCAAGGCCTGGGCAGGGACTCCCTGGGGTGCCGTCCTCGACACACGTTTGCCTCACCCTGACCTGCTGCGTGGCCGGCGCCGTGCCCGCAGCCCAGGGCGTAGCAGTGAGCAAGAGAGACGTTTGCCTCGGCGGGGCTTATAGCCCAGCGTGGGGAGATGAACGGTGAATGAAATAAGTAAATTATCGTATATGTCAGGTATTAGGAAAAGCCGGGACGGGAAGGGTCGCAGGTGCGAGGGGTGTCAGGGTCAGCCTCGCCGGGCAGGTGCAGTTTAGCCACAGGCATCATAGGGAGCTCCTCAGCCTGCAGGGCTGATGGGCACCCGGGGGCGGGGCGGGGGGGTGGGCGCTGGGCGGAAGCCCATGGGCTCTGGGTGACGCTGGAAGCCATAGCACAGCTTTGAGGGAAGGGTTGCCCCGCTGGAAGGGCAGGAGCAGGGAGGCAGGCGCGATGGTCCAGGCGCGAGCGGGGTGTGTGGGCTGGGAGGCAGTGGCGAAGCACAGAAGGGCTGGAACCTGGGTGTATCTTGGAGACAGCGCCAGTATGGTTTCCTCACGGCTTAGGTGTGTGGCGAGGGGACCCCAGGGCAGCCAAGGATGAGGCCGAGGGTGTGGGCCGGGGCGAGTGGCGGCCGCGTCGGTCACAGCCTCAGTCCCTAGACAGCTGAGTGGAGGGCCACATGGCCAGCCCAGGCAAGGTCTGGGCTGAGTCAGGAGTTTGGGAGTTGGCGTCTGGTCGGGGTGGGGGTGGCGTTTGGAGCAGTGAGGCAGGGCGAGCAGAGAGGGCGAGGTGGAGGCAGGGGCGCAAGCCAGTGAAGCTGAGCAGCGGGTGGAGGGTGGGAGTGCGCCCTTAAGAGGGTGACGTCCTGAGGCCGTGGGCTGCTGATGGGCGGTCAGGGAAGAGGAGGACCGAGATCCGGTCCCGGGCTGTGTTGTGGTGGCAGCTGGTGACCTCAGCCAGGGTGTTGCAGGGGGGCCATGGCCAGAGCCTGCTTGAAGCAGGTTGAAGAGGCTGGGGCTGTGGGAGACAGTTGGTCAGGCGTTTATACACTAATTCCCCATTCCTCCATCCCGCCCCCCGCCCCGTAACCTCTCTTCTCCTTCCTGTCTGTGAATTGATTATTCTAGATACCTTCTCTAAGTGGAATCATACACTATTTGTGCTTTTGTTTCTGGCTGGCTTCACTTAACGTAACACCCTCAAGGTTCTTCTGTGTTGTAGCTTGTATCAGAATTTCCTTCCTTTTTGTGGCTGAAGAGTATTCCATCGTGTGTATGTACCACATTGTGTTCAGCCCTTCATCCACTGGACATTTGGGTTGTTGCTACCTTTTGGCTATTGTGAGTAATGCTATATGAACACTGGTATCTGTTTGAATCTGTTTTCAGTTCTTTGGGGTACATACCCAGAAGTGGAATTGCTAGATCATATGGTCACATTCTGTATTTTAATTCTTGAGGAACCACAGAACTGTTTTCCACACAGCTGCGCCATCTTCATTCATACCAGCAACACACAAGCGTTCCAGTTGCTCCACATCCTCACCAACACTTATTTTCAAGAAAGTTTTTTGAAAATAGCCAGCCTCATAGTTGTGAAGTCACATATCTCACTGTGGTTTTGACTTGCATTTCCCTAATGAGTAATAACGTCGAGCATCTTTTCACGAGCTTATAGGCCACTTGAATATCGTCTGTTGGAGAGTTTGTCCATTTTTCAGTTGGATTTTGTTGAGTTCTAGGAGTTCTTTATTCTAGATATCATTTATCAGATAGTTTGCAGATTTCTTCTCCCATTCCAGGGGTTATCTTGTTTTAATTTTTTTGAAGTATAGTTGCTGTGCAGTCTTTTCAGTCTTGATAGTGACCTTTGATGTGCAGAAGTTTTAAATTGTTATGTAGTCTAGTTTATTTTTTCTTCCATTGCCTGTGCCTTTGGTGTTATAACTAAGAAATCATTAAATCCAGTGTCATGAAGATGTTCCCTTCTAAGAGTTTTGTAGTTTTGGCTCCTAAATTTAGATCTTTGACCCATTTTGAGTTATTTTTTGTATGTGGTGTAAGGTGGGGTCCCAACTGCAGGTCATCGTCAGGCTGGTTTCAGACACCCACTCACTTTCTTGATTGGCAGAGATCTCAGCAGATTTCAAGGAGCCAGGGAAAGAGAAGTCTCCCCCGACAGCAGCCTGCGGGTCACCCCTGGCCGCACAGCCGTCACCATCCGCCGAGCTCCCTCAGGCTGTCCCCCCTCCATCCGGCTCGCCGGCCCTCCCTGGGCGCCTGGAGGACTTCCTGGAGAGCAGCACAGGGCTGCCCCTGCTGACCGGCGGGCACGAGGGGCCAGAGCCCCTCTCCCTCATCGACGACCTTCACAGCCAGATGCTGAGCAGCTCTGCCATCCTGGACCACCCCCCCTCCCCCATGGACACTTCAGAATTGCACTTTGCGCCTGAGCCCAGTGGTGTGGGCCTGGACCTGGCCGATGGCCACCTGGATGGCATGGACTGGCTGGAGCTGTCGTCGGGTGGGCCGGTGCTCAGCCTTGCCCCGAGCACCACAGCCCCCAGCCTCTTCTCCACGGACTTCCTCGACGGCCACGACTTGCAGCTACACTGGGATTCCTGCTTGTAGCTCTGGGGCTGCAGAGCCGGGGGCTGGGAGGGCTGGAAAGTCGGAGACCTCGGGAACCCAAGGGAGTTGAGCGCTCTCTTGCCTGATGCAGCCTCTCCACGTGGTCATGAGTCCTGACAATCACAGGCCCTGCTTTCCCCTCCGTGGGAGGCCGGAGGAGGGTGTCCCCACACCTGGCTCTGGCTCACCAAGGAGAAGAGCTTCCAAGAAGCAGCTCTGGGTCCCACCCTGGGGTTTCGGAGGACTGGATGGGCCAGGGGCTTCTATTTGACCTCCTTTTGTGAGGTCGGGGTGCACCTGTCTGCTGCAGTTTGCTCAGGAGGTGAGGCTGAGGCAGGGCAAGGGGTGCATGTCCTTCCTTCTCTTCCCCTTCCCTGCAAGGGAAGGAACTGGCTGGGCCTCTACCTCACCACCCTCTTGATGCCAACACCACCGACCCAGGCTTCCCGGGAGGGGGGCTCCCTGCCATTTTAGTGTCTTGGTGTAGTGTAACCATTTAGTGGTTGGTGGCAAACGTTTTCTGTACAGGTGTATATACCTCTATATTATATATCGCCATACATATATACACATATATCTTGGGGGGCGGGTGGGAGGTGAATGCAGCCCCCCACCCCCGGTTCTACTCTGTGCACACGGAAGGGCCTGAAGCCACCGCTCCCGGGGCTGAACACAGCTTACCCTGGCCCCACCCATCACTTGTATCTGACACGTATAGACGCCTCGTCACAGCCTGTGCCGCACCTGTCCTGCTTCCTGCTCCTTATCAGTGCCACGAGGGCAGAGGTGCTTCCTGGCCCCCTGCCCACATTCCCTCCCGCTGCCTCACTGCAGCCACCACGGCCCTGGGACAGCAGTGGAGCCAGAGGTGGCCCTCAAGCTATGGCCTCCTCCTGCCCTGGGGCCTGGCCTCCCTTCTGGCCTTCTGGCCGTTGTCATTCACAGGGGATCAGGGATGGAGTCACCAGAACCAGTTCTGGGACAGAGGTGGGAAAGCTGTGTGAACTTTTTAAAATAAAAACGAAAACCCCGCCTGTTAGTCCATCTCCATGGAATGGAAGGGGGTCAATCCATGGAAGGGAAGAGGGGGGGTGCCGCGCTGTGATCCTGACTGCACCTCCCCGTGAGACCACCTCCCATCCCTGGCTGTGCCTCCCATCCCTGGCTGTGCATTCGGGACCACGCGCAGCTGGCTAGACAGAAGGTGGGAGAGGTGCGTCTCAAAGACAGTTTATTTGTAAATCAAAGAGGCTGGGGAGCCTTCAGCCTCCCCACCCTCCTCTGAGCAAAACCTGACAGAAGAGAGGTGGCGCTCCACCTCCCAAGGTTTTTGTTCAGCACAGCAAGCCTGGGGCCTCTGGTAAAGACCCTGGCAGGGCAGAGCCCTCCCCGGGGTGCTGAGAGTAACAGGCTGAGCCGGGCCCCCACCTTCTGCTCCTGCCACCTGCTGCCCTCCACCAGCACTCTAGCACCCAGGGCGGTGTCCCCGGACTCCCTACCACGGTGCCCAGCCAGAGCTCCCGAGAGTGTCCTCCCCTCGACCTTGCAGCTTGGGGTGGCCCCGAGGCTGGCCAGCGCCGGGCTGTTCTCTTCTTGCTTGAGGAAGGGGCTTGGTAGCCAAGGGGTCTGGAGAGGCCTGGATGTGACAGGGTCCCTGGAGGAAGAGCATCACCCGTCTATGTCCCAGCTGAAAAGGTGGTGCTTCACCAGCATGTCCTGGACGCCCTCCTTCAGGGGCTGCTTCTCCTCCTGCACAGGAACAGCCCTCCTGTCATGGCTGCAGGGCACACCACAGGGCCCAAGGGGCCAGAGTGGTCCTCACAGGCGACACCGGCACTCAGGGCCCCCACGAGGCCTGCCTCAGCACCCACACATCTGGGGGGGACCCGCCAGCACGAACACCCACACTGCCCCACCCCCCCCATCCCCCCTGGGGAAGGCAGGACCCGACCACCCACCTCTCTCTTGGCAGGAAGTTCCCAGTCTTGGGAGAGGCTAAAGGCAAAGCAGCAAAGGACCCTGGAGGCGGAGGGAGAGGGAGGCCGTCAGCGGCTGCAGGGGGCTCGGCCCGCCCCTCGGCCCACCCCCGGGGCGGGGCCTCCTCACCGCAGCTCGCACTTGATCTGGACCCAGCCGGGGCTGCGCAGGAAGGACCAGGGCTGGTACCACTTCTCCACGGTGGGCAGGCTGGAGCAGAGCACCTCCAGCCACAGGTGCAGGACCTGCTCACTGGCCACAGGCAGGGCGGGGTCGGGGGCGGCTCCAGGCAGAGGGTCCTGCCCTCCCGCACCCACCGCACTGGGCCACCCCCCGCTCCAGGGCCCCCTCCATCCGCACCCCCAACCTCCCTCCGCTTGGTGGCCTATGCAGGTGACCCTGCCTCCTTCCCTCTCAGCTACTCTGGCTTCTCCACATGGGGAGATGTGCCCAGGGGCCCAAGGTCCCTGTGGCCCCCACTCCCCTCGGTCCTGTGTCTGAGACTCGGCCACCACCACCCCGGGCCCTGGGGCCTCAGTCCCGCCGGTCAGCCGGGGAGAGACACGCCCGCTCGCTGGCCGGTGGGCCCACGGCATGTTCCGAGCAGGTCTCGGGGACCCCTGCCTCGCCTCTCCAGGTCAGAGCAGCCTAGAGGCCGCCCCTCTGCTGTGTGGCAAGTGCAGAAACACCGCGCTCAGCCTGGCCAAGGTCCGAGCCTCGCACAAGCCTGCAACCCCTCCGGCAGGCGCCCCTCCCTAGTTTGCAGCTGCATCCCTGATGAGCCTTCACTGCTCACCTTGCTGAAATCTGTGCTCCCCAAAACCCGAGCGCCAGCCCCCCGCCCCAAGCACTGGCTGGTCTCATGCTCGAAGAAGGGCTTCGGGAGCCACCCTGGCCGTCTTCCACCTCCGTCTGCCCAGCTTAGGCCCCCCCGCAGCCCCCACTCAGCAGCGGTGCAGACACTCACTTGAGCCCCACGCAGATGAGGGAGCGGAGCTTGACGTCCATTTGTGCGTGTGCAGCGTCATGGGTCACGTTAACGGACTGCACGGCCTGGAGGGCACAGCTGTCGCTCAGGTGTCCCCAGCTCCCAACCCTGAAGGCCTGTCCCGCCCACGGCCCTGCTTACCCGGTAGAGCAGCTCCTCTGGGGTCAGGACTTTGCCATCTTCATCCAACCTGAAAGGGGGGACCAAAGCTGCCAGTGCTGCCCTGGTGGGCTCGGACCGCTCCCTCTCCCTCCTCCACCCCCAGCCCCAGGCTGCCAGGTGACCCTACCAGGAGGATGACCCTGCCAGGAGGACACCGAGGCCAGGGCAGGGTTACCTGTACGTCTTACACAGCACTAGGCGCGAATACACCGAGTCGAAGTCTCTCTCAACCTCCCGGCCCGCCGCCTGGGGGGCAGGGTGAGCGTCGGGCAATGGGGTAGGTACCAGGTCAAAGCCACAGAGTCCAACTGAGTTCAGGTCACCACCCCACCAGCTCCTGCCACCAGCTCCGCAGGGCACAGGGGCTCAGGGAAAAGGACTCTCACCTCCTCGATGAACAGCCAGGGGTGGCAGGCGCCCCCAAGCAGGGAAGGCTTCTTCAGTCCGTGTTCAAACAGGGCCTTCAGGGCCGGGCAGAGGGTCCCTCGCACGAGGTCCGTGACCCCCTCTGTCACAGAATCGTCCCCCGCGATGGAGTACTGAGGGTGGAGGACGGGGTCTGAGACGCCCCAGCCAGCCCCTCCCTGTCCTCACAGCCACTGCCACAAGCCACACGCAATCGGGACGCAGGCCCTGCAAGGAGGGTGCAGGCCTCACGGGGCAGAGGCAGCAGCGGCTCCGGGGACGGGCCTGCCTCGTGTGTACCCTCCTCACCTCCTTGCTCCGCTCATCCAGGACTTCCACGAACTTTGCTGGAAACCAGCCTGTGGGAGAAGCAGGGCCCATGAGGAGCGGGCGGCCTGGTGTCGTGATGCTCCCCACAACGGGGCTGAGGACACACGGGAGCAACGGACGCCGCTGTCTGAGCAAACCCAGTGCCCGCTGCAGCTTCGCAGCCAGGCCCGCCTTCCCCTTGCCCAGCGCAACACAGGACCAGATGGAGGCCTCACCTCTCAGGCCATTCAGCTCCCCCACCCAGCAGTGCTCGTCCTTCTGGGAGATGATCTGCGGAGGAAAAGGGCGGGAAACACAGCTCCAGTTGCCTGACTTCATCCTTGGCTGGGAGCCCTGGCCACATGAGGGCTCGACCAACCCGCCCATGGCCTCGGGGCTGGCGGGGACGAAGGCGTCCGCTCCCCGCTCACCGTAATGATGTCGTTCTTGCGGAAGCCCAGCTCGTCATCATCGTGGCGCTCGAAGTCCAGTAGGGCCTTGGCCCGGCGTGGGTGGCTGCGCAAGCATGCCACGTAGTTCTCGTGGTCCCTCTGGTGGCTCTCCATGCTGTAGTCCGGGCTCAGCTCCTGCTGGGGGGGGGGGGCAGAAAAGCCCACCGCGAGGGGGCGCTCGGAACAGGGCTAGGGCCCCTACTTGAGCTGTGTGCACAGCCCGGGACCTTAGACTCACCACACTGCAGTTCTTGGGGTCTGTGCACTGGAAGTGGCGTGCCACGCGCAGGATGGCTTCCCGGAGGTCGGCCACCAGCTCTGTCTGCTTGATGTTCTTGGCCTTGAGCGCCTCCAGGTCGTCCTCCCCTGTGAGGCCCAGAGAGCAATGGTGGCCGTGGCCCAGCCCGGCCCTGTCCCGACTCCAAGGAAGCGCAGAGTCCACACGGGGTGTGAGGCCAGACGCCCCGCTCTCGGAGCCCAGCCCAGCGCTTGGCCACCCGTGCAGAGTTCTCACCAAAGAGCAGCGACGTGATGCCAGACTTCCTCCGCTGGGTCCTGCGGCGGACAACCTGCAGGCGGGGAAATCAGGTCGGCGGCAGCCCCAGGCACCCGGCGCCCAGCCAAGTGGATGGCGCCCCAACACTGGGGACAGTGAGCAGAGCCCTTCCGTGCAGAGGCCCCGCCGGCATCTCACTCGTGCCGCCTCCTCTGACATGGCCTCTAAGGCCGGCTCTGAGGCTCAGAAACATATCGTCAGTTCAAATCTGGGTCTGTCCAGGTGGGTCCCGGCAGAGACGCGCCAAGGACAAGGTGGCGGGTCCCTGCACAGCTGTGGTCTGGCCAGGCCGGGCCCTGGGTGCTGAGCTGGAGGGGATGGTGGTGAGCTGGGGCCTCCTCCCTCATGGGCCCACCTGAGAGAGGCTGGCGGCAGGGCTGGCGCCCAGGAGCGGGCCCTGGTCGGCTAGGAGGTAGGCCAGGTGCTTGCGGCGCTGGCTCTCCACGGCCACGTCAGTGAGGGAGCCCGCCAGCCGCATGGCCTCCCCCAGCAGCAGGTCCGCGTCCTCCATCTGTGACGGTATGTCCGACAGCGTGTTGAAGATGGAGGCTGAATTCTCCGACTGGATCAGCTCCTCCTCCTGGGCCATGTGAGGGGGGCGCTGTCACTGCCTGGGTGGCATGTGTGACTTCCCTGGATGGTCCAGCTGAGCACACGAAGGCCCTGCCCCAGGAGAGAGACCTCCCTCCTCCCCGGGGCATCTCCAGAGGGGCCAGGGCTCAGGCCACAGGACACTGAGGCCTGGACTGGAGCAGAGGTGGAGGGCGGGCAGACCCCGAGGCGGCTGCCAGGACAGCTGCATCTGGCACCTGGGGCTCCGGCCTTCACCTTGAGGCACAGCATGCCCAGCGTGGCCTGGAACAGCACCAGGGAGCCCTCGTAGAAAAACAGGTCCCAGAGGCGCAGCAGCAGCCTGATGTGCACCACGCTGGCGAAGGCCGTGAGGAACCAGTGCAGTGTGATGAGGGACAGCTCTGTGGACACAAACCAGAGGCCCTGAAGCTGGCACCAGGGATGGCCGGTGCGGAACAGCCAGAGAAGAGGGGCACCCCCCAGGCACGCAAGCCGTGGAGGAGGTGGAGCGAATCTCCCAAAGCAGCAAGAGGCCATGCTTGCTCCACGGCAGAGAGGAGGCGGGGCGTCAGGAACCGTCGGAGAACAAGAGAGCAAGGAAGGCAGCAGCATGAGTGGCCGTCGTCAGAAGACCTCCTTGCCTCCTCCTGAGCTGCCAGCACTGCCCTGTCTTCAGCTGGGTCCTGAGGCCTCAGATCTGCAGCACCTGAGCCAGAGCTCAGGAACCCTTGACCCCAGAGCAGCGGTGGGCTCGGGCCCTTACCGATGTCATGCTCCTGGAGCAGCCTGTCCAGCCGAGGCAGGTACTGGACGATGAGGTGGCGCAGGAGCCGCTGGTCGGTCTGGACGCCCAGCAGGGTGGTGCTGAAGTAGGAGGCGGGGAGCAGGTCCTCGATGATGGCGCACATCATCCAGAAGGCATCCTCCTCCTCCAGGAACAGCAGGAGGCAGGCAGCCACCTGGCCGGGGCAGGGGGGTAAGGGGCCTCTGCCCAGGTGTCCATGCAAATTAGAAGAGGCACCCCCTCGGGGGTGACCAGTTAGAACAAGGCGGCCTCTGGGGGGTGGGGGGGGGGGGCACACCACAGACCGCATGCCGGCCTCAGGCTTGGAACCCCTCCCTGCTTGGGAACCGCCCCCTCCACCCCCTCCTCCAGGCCTACTGCCCCCGTCCCGGGCTGTGCTCACCATGCCCGTGCCCTGGCAGTAGCCGATCTCCGGGTAGAGCCAGGCCAGCGCTCGGAGCACCCTGCGCAGGCGGGGTACACCCACGCTGCTCACGTGGGCGAAGCAGGCGTTGCTGGGCATGGTGCGGAGCAAGTCCTTCTCAATCTGCTGGCAGCCCGCCCACAAGAGCCTGTGAGGCGCAGAGCAGGCGCACAGCCTCTGCACCCCTGACACCGAGACCCCCCGGAAGTAGGCCGGGGGCCCCTGTGTGGGGCAAACCTCAGCTTGGCTTCTCTCCCAGGAATGGGGATTCCTCAGGCTCCGGGTCAAAGTCACCCTCCTCCCTTCAGGATAAGAGCCCAGCTGGTGTGCAGCTGGTGCCACGTGATCCACGGGGGAGCCTCTAAACATAAAATTACAGATTCCTGGGCCTCAAGCCACAGCTGTGGAATGAGAATCTCTGGAATGAAGCCTGGAAACCTGTATTTAAAATCTCCAGGGGAGGGACTTCCCTGGTGGTCCAGTGGTTAAGAATCCGCCTTCTAATTCAGGGGACGCAGGTTCAATCCCTGTTCGGGGAACTAAAATCCTACGTGCCGCGGGGCAACTCAGCCCGCACGCCCCAACTAGAGAAAAGCCCGCGTGCCACAACGAAAGATCCCATGTGCTGTAACAAAGTCCCGACACAGCCAAAATAAACAAATGAATAAATAAATAAAACATTAAAAAAAAATCTCCAGGGGATCCTAATGTGCACCGGTCCGGTGGCCTTTTTGACAATCCCTCCCCCCACACCCACCACAGAGGGACCAGGAGGAAACTGGCTGGCTCCAGGCACACGTCTGTAGGTGCAAGGACTGCCCAGGGCTGCCTCACAGCTGCCGAGCTCTCCCGGGCCCCCCTGAAGGGCCTCCCCCTGACCCCCCACCCCCCCAAACAGGGCCCCACCTGCTTGGCAGCAACGGTCTCATCGTTAGCGCTGTCCTTCACGATCTCTCGGTAGGACAGCTCGGAGTTCCTCTTCTTCTGCAGGGCCCCGGAGAGCCGCATCCACAGCTGATGGGGGGAGCACGGCGCTCAGTCCCCAGGGGGCCCCTGAAGCCCGCGGCCCCCGCGGGCCCCGCCTCACCTGCGGCCTCATGCTGTGCGGCACCCCGGCCAGCACCAGGGAGCGGAGCTTCTCCGAGCGTGGCAGGGAGATGGCAATCTTGTCCCAGGTGAGGTCTCCCACGTCGTGGTTGTGGGTGAACTCCAGGTGGGCCTGCCAGCGCAGCCTCTGGGGGGGGTCCTCCAGCAGCTGGCCTGGGCGGGGGGCGCCGTCTGCGCCTGTGAGGGAGGAGGGAGAGCGACCCCCGCCGCCTGTGCCCCGAGAGCAGAGGACTGGGCTCTGGGTCCGCCGCCCGGATCTCACCACCGAAAGCCAGGGTCACCTTTCCAACCATCTCCCGTGGCACCCCGAACAGCCAGCGAGAACTCTTCGCTTTCACCCCCAAACCAGATCCGGAGGTCCCCCCCCCCCCCCCCCGACCAGGTGCTCAGGCTCCTCCGCTTCAGAGCACAGGCAGAACCTCGGCTCTCTCGCCCCTCCGACTACGGCCCTAGTCCAAGCCACCATCTCTCGTCTGGGTTAGAGCGACAGCCTCCTCAGCGGCCGCCTAGTCCTGCCCTGCCTCCCTAGAGGCTGTTCACAGCCCTGTCACAGCTCAGAGCCTGTCACGCAGACACAGCGCCTGACCCCGCCTCCTCGTGCCCTGCTCCCTCCACCCCAGCTCTTTCCCACAAATCCACTCGCCTCAGGGCCTCTGCACCTGTTATTCCCCTTCCTGGCCACACTCACTGCCTCACTTCCTCTCAGTCTCTGTTCAAACGTCTCCCACCTCCCCTCCTCTCCCAGCCTCTTCTTGCCCCCAGCATACATTTTGTTTGTTTGTTTACTGCCTGGGAACTCATGAAGCCAAGACCACCTGTTTGAGGCACTGGGGATGCACAGTGGGGCGGGGCCACCCCACAGAGCCTCATCCTTACTCATCCTAAAGCCATGCCCTTGGCCTCCACTTTCTGAAACTTCACCTTCAGTGAATTCACATAAAGTGCACAAACTTTAAGTGTACACTTTGTTGAGTATCAATAAACAAATGTCTAAGCACTGACAGTCTAAACGCTGTCCCCATCAAGACACAGAATACTTCCATCATACTAGAAAGTTCCCTGTGCTCCTCTCAGGCCCAGCTTTTATCTTCTGAATGTCTGCCTGCAAACTAGGGAACAAGGAAGGCTCATCAGAACTGGGAGTACGAGTGACCTGAAGGTGAATGGTCTCAGTCAGTCAGTTAACGTCTGCTTGGTGACAGGCTACCCTGGGTTCTGGCAGACAGCTTTCCAGCAGTCCACTTGGCAACACCAGGTGTATTTACAGTAGAAAATAATGGAAATGGCCTAGGGGCCCACTTACAGAAGAATGGTTATAAAAATATGAAGACAGTGACTTCCCTGGTGGCGCAGTGATTAAGAATCCGCCTGCCAATGCAGGGGACATGGGTTCGAACCCTGGTCTAGGAAGATCCCACATGCTGCGGGAGTAACTAAGCCCGTGCGCCACAACTACTGAAGCCCGCGCGCCTAGAGCCCGTGCTCTGCAACAAGAGAAGCCACCGCAATGAGAAGCCCTCGTACAGCAACGAAGACCCAATGCAGCCAAAAATAAATAAATTTTTTAAAAAACAACAAAAAAAATGACAAATCCATTATAATTACAAGGATAGTACACAGCCACTGAAAAACATGCTTTAAAGAGGTCTTAACTGACAGAAAAAATGCTCATGGAATAATGTTGAGATATAAGAGCAATATAAAAACATGTATATGATATCTTAGTTATGAAAAGTTACATACGGATACACACAAAGCCAGGAAAAAAATACATAGAAATGTCAGCAGTTATCCTCAGGTTGTAGGATAATGGGTTAATTTGTTTTAATCTTTATATCTTGATGTACTTTTAAAATTCTCTATAATGAACATTATTGCTTTTATTATCATATGAAGATCAATAAAATTAATCTTAAAAAAAAAAAAAAACCCAGGGAATTCCCTGGTGGTCCAGTGGTTAGGAGTCAGTGCTTTCACTGCCAAGGGTGTGGGTTCAATTCCTGGTTGGAGAACTAAGATCCTGCAAGCTGTGCAACGTGGCAAAAAAAAAAAACCCCAAAGGATTCCAGATACTTATAACAGCATCACTGTCGGATGTGGTTCTGTCCCCGAGTCTGGAACATCTAGAGCCCGAGGCCACAGCAGTGTCGTCAGTCACTGGAGCTTGCCCTCCCCAAGGACAGTGGAGAGATTACACCCGAGGGGCTATCTCACCTTCCTTGTCCACGCGGAAGCCGAACTCATCATAGCAGAACTCTGGTTGCTCCACTGCCTCTTCCTTCTAGACACAGGAGTAGGAAGAGTCAGCCTGAGGCTGCGTGCGCTGCTGCCATGCCTCCTAGCCTCCCTGACTCAGACCAAAGGCCACCATTCCCTGAAGCTTCTGTGGTCATCACAGCTCTGGGGGCCACGACCCTCTTGAATTCTTCCAGAGTTTTCCTTGTTTTCCTCAGAGGTCAAAGATAAAATCAAGGCAAGAAACACGTTTTATGTATTTCTGTGCCCCATAATACTGAGAGCAGAGTGCCATACTTGTTCCCCAACCTAATGTCCGATTCACAGGGAACGTGGAGCTAAGATACTGTCTCTGATGGGGGCTTCTGACCCTGTGTGAATACGGGGGAGTGGCCCCCCTCCCAGGATGCCTGCAGCGGGCGGTGGGTCCCCTTGGGTGCCCCAGCGTGGGAGCAGAGCCACTGGCGCCCACTGGCTGACTGCTGTACCTGTGTGTACTTGGCCAGGATCTCCTGGGGCCACATGCTAGGAGTCAGGGCTGAGAAGGGGCCACTGGCAGAAGGTATGTGGCTTCCTAAAACCAAAGAGGACCAGGAATAGGAGATGAAGAAAATGCAGAGCATTCAGGGGGAAAATTCAAGTTGAGACACCCCCTCTCCCTTCCTCTCCCCACCGTCCCACCCCCCAGAGTGCCAGCATTAAAGGACTGGACCATCTAGAGTGGGATGGATGGGGGAGGGGAGAAACCTAGCAAAGTGCAACTTTCTGGAGGAAGGAAAAGGAAGCCAGCAGTGTGTTACAAGACATAACCTGACTTCATCTCCTTGCCTCTCCCTCCACCTGTGAGTGAGGATTTTCAGGCTGGAAGGAGAGGACAGGGATTCAGGAAAACTGAGAAGAGAGTTGCAGTAGCTCTCCCAGATGCCCATCAGAAGACTTCCTCCTTCCTCCATTACCTGGGCGGTCCACGTGACCCTCGAAGGTCCGTGGAAAACAAGCCTGCTTCCCTCCCACTGGGGTTTCCTCCTGGATAAGACCCCCTTCCCCCTGGAGAGCCTGTCGCCCCATGTCCAAGCCAGGCCCCTGCCTCCCACCTGACATCGTGTGGAGAGGACAGGCAAGTCTTCTGTAGATCCAGACTCGGGAGTTTCCTATCCTAGTATCTTACAGCTGGAAGGCTCCTCAAACTTCATCTGGTCCAGAAACATTTGCCCTGGTAGGAGTGCAAAGAGGAAAGTCATTTAACGCAGCCCCTCTCCTGGGAGTCCTTTCTACCCGACTCTGATTTGCTGGCCCAGAGGTGGTGGGGAGGTAAATCCTGGCCACTGTTTGACAGGGAAGGAAAAGTCACACTTGAAAGAAAAAGCCTCCTATTCTGAACATTTCATCCAAGAGCATACACTTTGAAGAAGCTACAAAACTATTGTTCTCCAACAGCTCTGTGAGCCGAGAGGAGGGTCTGCTCAGTTCCCATACTACTAAGGAAGGAGAGGATCACACAGACAGACTTCCTGATGCTCTGTACTCAGGCAAATGTTTCATAAAAAAGAAAACAAAAACCAGCCACCACCAAAACTTCCACGAATAGGTTCCTGAGCCAGAATTTTTGAGGAATCACTTAGGTACGACACTTCTGAGTCCGTACCTCCACTCACCCGACACTGACGTTTCCACTTCATCCACCAGTCTGCTCGACCACACCTTCCAGCACCTCACAGCTGGGAAACTAGGAAATTGCCATCTAAGTTTCTCACGTCACTGTTTAACCCCTGCCTCCCTACTTTTTTTGTCCTCTTAAAAAATGACTCAACAATTAAAAAGACAAACAGCCCAATTTAAAAATGGGCATAAGGGGACTTCCCTGGTGGTCCAGTGGTTAAGACCCCACACTCCCAATGCAGGGGGCCCGGGTTCGATCCCTGGTCAGGGAACTAGACCCCACATGCCACAACTAAGAAGTCCTCATGCCACAGCTAAAAGATCTCACGTGCCACAACTAAGATCCAGAGCAGCCAAAATAAATAAATATTAACAATAAATAAATAAAAATGGGCATAAGGTTTAAATAGACATTTCTCCAAAGAAGAGACGTAAATGGCCAATGAGCAGGTAAAAAGATGCCCGACATCATTAGTCATCAGGGAAATGCACAGCAAAACCACAATGAGATTCCACTTCACACCCACGAGGATGGCATACTGGAGACAAAAGTCTTTTTTTTTTTTAAATATTTTATTTATTTTTGGCTGCATTGTGTCTTCGTTGCTGCCCGCGGGCTTTTCTCTAGTTGTGGTGAGCGGGGGCTACTCTTTCTTTGTTGCAATGCGCAGGCTTCTCATTGCAGTGGCTTCTCTTGTTGCAGAGCACGGGCTCTAGGCATGCGGGCTTCAGTAGTTGTGGCACATGGGCTCAGTAGTTGTGGCTCACGGGCTCTAGAGCGCAGGCTCAGTAGTTGTGGCGCACAGGCTTAGTTGCTCCATGACATGTGGAATCTTCCTGGACCAGGGCTCGAACCCGTGTCCCCTGCATTGGTAGGCAGAGTCTTAACCACTGTGCCACCAGGGAAGTCCCTGGAGACAAAAGTCTTAAAAGCAGTGTTTGGCCATATGGGATGAATACACTTAGGCACATAGCTCCTGTTTGTCCTACAGCAGCAGGCACCTGCCATTAAAACTTATCTTCAACATCAGAAAAAAAAAGACAACAGTTAGTGTTGGTGAGGATGTGGTGAAATTGGAAGCCTCATACTCTGCTAGGGGGAATGTAAAATGGTGGGCTGCTGTGGAAAGTACTGACAGCTCCTCAAAAGGTGAAACACAGAGTTACCACATGACCCAGGAATTCTGCTGCTAGTTATTTACCCACAAGAAATGAAAGCAAGAGTCCACACAGAAACTTGTACTTGGATGTTCACAGCAGAATTACTCATCATAACCAAAAAAGCAGAAACAACCCATATGTCCAAGAACTGATGAAGGGATATAGGAAATGCATAGAACATCCATACAATGGAATATTATTCAGCTTTAAAATGGAATGAAGTGCTAATAACACAGGTGAACCTTAAGAATATTATGCTCAGTTAAAGATGCCAGTCACAAGAGGATGAATATTGTATGACTCTATTTAAATGAAATGTCCAGAAGAGGCAAACCCCTAGCTAGACACAGAAAGTAGATTAGTGACTGCCAAGGGCTGGAGGCGAGGGGAAGGCACAGTGACTGCTAATGGGTACAGGGTTTCTATTTGCAGAGATGAAACGTGTTCTGGAATTGGAGAGTGGTGACAGTTACACAACAGTATGAAATACTCAAACCACTGAATTATACACTTTAAAAATAGCGAACTTTGTAGCATGTGAATTATATCTCACTTTAAAAAAATTAAATAAGCCATCAACTGATGCGTCAGCACTTGGGCTCCCTCTGAGTTCCTATTTCTAGCCTGCTCCTATTAGAACAGGCAAGAGCCTATTATCACCCACTCGAGCTTCAACAGAAATGCAGTTTGAGGGGTGGCTTTCTCAGCCTTTTTCTGAATATGAAGCCTTTTACTTCTAACCATGAAATGAAAGGAAGGTAACATAAATGGAAGGTAACAATGGAGATGTGGGTGAAATATTTTAGGGCAAGTTGCCTTCTAGGTTTTGGTATCATATTCACCTAGGCCTAGACCTCCTTTTGCCATTTTTCAAGTGACGGGACCTCAGAGGTGACAGCTGTTGGCCTCGTCTCCTGCGTGCTGTCTGCTGTTGGGAATTCGGGGTAAATGAGAAGGGTCAGGTGAGTGAGAAAGAAACAAAAAAGGAAAATCAAAGAACCACTTCGAGGGCACTGTGAGAAAACATTACCCTATGGACCCTTTCCTCCAGCGAATGTTGAAAAATGGGCACGTGAAAAAAATCCCAGTTCTCTTTAAAGACACACTTGCAAATCTGGGGCCAAACAGCTTGTCCCAAGGGCAGCTCAGCTGGGTCACCAACCTCTACTCCTGCCCCCAGACACACCCTGACCGGGCCACATTTGGGCTAAATGCCCATCGTGGAGGCTTTGATGCCCAGCTGGGAGGGAGCCCTCTTGCTTCCAGACAAGCCTTGCTGAGAAACAGATGGCAGAACCCGCTTCCCTAATGGGCCAGCCATCCTAGACTTGTCTGTCTGTTCTGCGTGAGGAAAATGTAACGTCTTCCTTCAGTATAACAGGTATGCGGGGCCTGATTTGAATCAGAATTCTGTGCTGGATGGAGCAAGTATTTTAACATTAAAGGGACTGAGCTAGAAGTTCTTAAAATCATGTCATCATTCAGTCCTCACAGCATATTCTGAAGCAGACTATCTGTGGTCCTCACACATGAGAAAACAAGCCTAGAAGAGATGCACGTACAGTCTCCCAAACGGACCCAGATAACTGTGCCCCCTGCCCCACCATGCTCCCCCCACCCCCACCTGGGGAGATGATGTCACTCGGCCACCAGCTTGACAGTGCCAGGAAATAACCCCGTGCTCAGCCAGGCCACCGCCAGCCTGGAGCCCTGGGCAGGCACGCTGCTGGGGCACCAGCGTTAGGAGGGCAAGGCTTCCGAGCTCATCCTCTGCCACCTTTGTGCAGAGGCCGGACGGCGCTGCGCTTAAAGTGAAGACCTCTCTAGTCGGACAGATGTGGACTCAAATCCCGGCTCTGCAGCTCCCCCCTTCTTATAACCTTGGGCACGTTCACGTCACCTCTTTGAGTCTCAGTTTTCTTCTCCATAGACTGGAGCAACGGTACCTACGTCTCACAGTGGTTACGAGGATGAAGTGAGAACGCAAAGAGCCCCGGCACACTGACACACAGCAAGTGCTCAGGAAGCATCAGGCAATTAGCAGGAGTCCTCATAATTTCCAGAAAGTTACTGTGAATATCTGGGCCCTCTACACTGAGGTTACTCAAGGCCATGTGATACTGCTGATATCCAGCCATTACAACCTGTAAAAACGACAACTTCGTATGGTTCAACGTAACACATGCCAGCTGGGATCATCAGAAAGACTCCTCATCACTGACTCCTCAGAGGTAGTGATTTGGCTGTTTCTTCCAGAAGGGCAGAGAAAGTGTGGAGGAAGCAGGCGTTGTCTATAAGTGGAAGAAAGGAGCTGTCTCTGGCTGTGGAGGACTGAGGGGGCTGGGAAGACAGTTCTCAGTCCGCAGCTCCCTTTCCCAGCCTTGGCTTGCCCACCTCATTCATTCACTCAACAGTTACTGAGCACCGCCATGAACCACACATAGTTCTAAGGGTTGAGACGCAACAGTGAAAAACCAAAGTCCCAGCCATTACATCACAGCAGAGAATCAGACAACAAACGTAACACCAGCTGTGTTAGATGGTGCTAACTACAGTAGTCTGAGGAAAATAAAGCAGGATAAAGGTACAGGAGAGTCAGAAGAGAGGAGCCATGTCGCTAACGTGGTCAGGAAAAGCTCTGAGGATAAGGTGACATCCAAGCAAAGACCCAAACAAAAGGAAGTGGGAGACCAAGTCCTATGGCTCCTGAGGGAAGGAAGATCCAGGTAGCAGGAGCAGCAGGGTGAAGACAAGGCAGGAACAGATGTGGCAGGTGCAGCTGCTGCGGGGGAGAGGGGCTGGGGAGGAGGAGGAAGCACAGCGGGGGGGCGCAGCCGGCTCAGGAAGGCCTTGCAGTGCAGTACAGAACTGGAACTTATTCTCCTTACAGGAGGGCTCTGAGCAGAGGCAAACCTGAATCTGATTTAGGATTTCAAAGCTCTCTCTGGCTGCTGTACAGAGAAGACTGCAGGGCAGGAGGGGGTGACGCAGTAGGAATAATGTTGGCTTTGCTACCATGGGGACAGTGAGAAACGGTCAGATCTGGATATATTTTAATGAGTCTCTACAATAATACGTATATGCCATTTCTCTTACCAACTACCCCCTAGTCCCCAAGTTCCCAACAGGAGCCAGAAGTGATATTGCCAATCTGGGCAGGCAGGTTTTTCCAGCATCCGGTCACTATGGAAACCTTCCTGAAAGCAGCCATCTGGGAGCTGGCTAAAGCAGCCACGTCACCGGCGGCCCTACTGTTGTCACAGGGGTACTGAGAGGCAGAAACTTTTGAAAAACAAGAAATATACTGGAGGCAGATTAAAAGACTGTCATCTTGAAGCATGTAAGTTTTTAAAATGCCTTTTGATCCAGTAACTATTCTCCTGGAAACTTATC